TATATATATTTCTCTGTGTACAGTTCTTGAGTTTTGACAAAGGCCTATAGTCATGTAACAACCACCACAATGAAAATGTAGAATAAATAGCTCTATCACCCCCAAAATTCTTTGATTCTCCTGTTATCAAGTTGTACCCCTACTCCCAAATGCTGGCAACCAATGGTTTGTTTTTTGTATCCACAGTTTTGCCTTTTCCAGAATTACATACAAATGAAAGAAACAGTAGCTAGAGCCTTTTTATTCTGGCTTATTTATCTTAGTCTGATGCACTTAAAATTCATTCATGTCATATGTTTCTTTTTTTATTAATTTTATTGAGAAGCAAATAGTGAATGAGACAGTGTCAAAACAGATTAGGACAATTTCAATAATTAATACATTGCATATTGTTGTTTCCGTAGTGGTTATTCATAGTACAAGATGCAGACATGATACCCTGTCCAAACATTTTTATACAATGGATTATTACTCAGCTTTAAAGAATGATATACTCGAAGCCTTTATATTTAAGTGGATCCCACTTGTAAATATACTCATAAGTGAAATAAACCAGACCCAAATGTGTAAATATCATATAGTCTCACCAGTAAGAACTCAAAAGAAGAAATAAAATTAGAAAGGTATAACACAATTAAAAGGAAAGTGAGAACTTAAGGATTAAACAACGAAGAGAGGGCAAGGAGAAAAGCTAGGAAACATGACAGGGGCAAAGCCATGCATTTATGTCATATGTTTCAGTAATCATTTCTTTTCTTTTCTTTTCTGAATAGTGCTCCATTGTGTGGATGTATCAGTTTCTTTATCATTTCCTAATTAAGGAATATTTGAGTTACTAAAGTTTTGATGACTAAATATTTGCATTCAGATTTTTCTTAGTATGTTTGTAGTACATAATGATCATATTCATCATGGGGAACTTGTACATTCAAATTTTTATTTCTTTATTTCTTTTTTTTTTTTTTTTGTGGTGGAACCAGGGATTGAACTCAGGCCCTTGCACTTGCCAGGCAAGCGCTTATTCTACTGAGCCATCTTCCCAGCCCCCTTTTTATTTCTTTTAGATTAAAAGTTTTATGGATAGGGTGTGGGAGACATATGACAAATATATTTTAACTTTGTAAGAAACTAGAAGGGCCAGCGGTATAGCACAGCATACTAAGCACTTGCTTAGGGGCCAAGGTTGGATCCCTGGCACTGCATGCTGTGCCAGCCCCACGCCAAGCATGCTGAACTCTGCAATGGAGTCCGGCCATGGTGGTGCACGCCTGCAGTCCCAGCATTAGGAAGGCAGAAATCAGGAGGATCACTACAAGTGTGAGCTGTATTTTTTTTTATTAGGTATGAATTTATTTTTCCCCATAATTTTATTGATAAAAAATTAGCAATGAGACAGTTGCAAATCAAATCAGTAGGACAGTTTAAATAATTAATTTTTAAATGGAGACATTGCTTTGCTGCCTTTTTTTGTTTTGTTTTGGTACCAGGGATATGAACTCAAGACTCTGTGCTTGCCAGGCAAGCACGTGTTCTCCTGAGCTATCTCTCCAGTCCTGTGGGAGCTGTGTTGAGAACCTACACACACAAAAAGAAAGAAAGAAAGAAAGAAAGAAAGAAAGAGAGAGAGAGAGAGAGAGAGAGAGAGAGAGAGAGAGAGAGAGAGAGAGAGAAAGAAAGAAAAGAGAAAGCAAGCAAGCAAGCAGAAAAGTTTCGAAAGTGACCCTTCTACCTTGTATTCCTACAATTGATTTTATTTTTATGTTTTTATTTATTTTTGGTACTAAGAATCAAACTTAGGACCTTATGCTTGCCATACAGGCACTTGGTGATACTAAGCTATATTCCCAACAACAACATATGAGACTTCTAACTGTGCTCCACTTTATTAGTGTCAGACTTATAGGAGTCTCTGGTTATCACACAGGGAGTTTTAGTTTGTGTTTTCTTAATAACTAATAATGTTGAACACATTTCCATACTTATCTACCATTTGTCTTGATTTTTTTGTGTGTATTTATTTGTTTATGTTTTTGTTTATTTTGGTACCAGAACTTGAACTCAGGACCTTGAGCTTGCCATGCCCACTCTGTGGCACTGAGCTATATCCCAACCCTATCTGTCTTCTTTTGTAAGACAACTATTCAAGTCTTTTGCCCATCTTTA